GCCTCTGCCCGCGCCGATGCGGGCCGCGCCTCGAGACATGACTGCTGCTGCGGGTCTGTTGCCCCTGGACGGCCTGCCAGCGCGCTGGCGCACCCCGCCCTGGTGGGCTCCACCTGGAGGATCGCATGCCTGCTACGATACCACCCCCATGAGACACTTGCACATGGAATATGCACTGAATTTGCTACGAAAGGGTATTTTCAATGCTCTTTTGCCTCCCTTACCCTCCCTGTTCCCCGTTTTGTTACCTGTTCATTGCTTACCCGCCCCGTTTTTGTTCGCCGCCACCTCCCCAGGCGCGGCCGCATTCATTCAATCCTCGGTAGTCAGCCAGCCTCATCGCCTAGCGCCTCCCAGTCTCCCTGTACCCCTGCCCACTTGCACAAGCAGGAGCAGCCGAGCCTACCATCGCCTGGTTCTGCTTTTGGAGGCCGCTCGCCCGCCGCCTTGCCGCGGCGGCGCCGGCACCCGTTCTGCTTCTGCTGCACAATGCGCTTGCCTGCCAGCGTTCCATACCTTACAGCTCTGTAACTTTGTGAATCAGAGAAATCGCCGCACGACTTCCACAGGACTGGGAAACTGCAGCCCCCTGCCAGCTGGACCCGTCCCCCTTGCGACCTTGCGCCGGGTGCACTACAAGCTAGCGGCTCGCATTCCGCCCTATCTCTCGACTTTCAGCTGCTTCGATCCAATTTGGAGCCTTGCCGGAGCTCTGCAGGTGCGCAGCGGTCCCCACGCGTCTGACATTTGGAGCCCCCGCGTCCGACCTGCATGCCACTACCACGGGCCCACACCGCCCTGCCCGCGCTGTGCAGGTCGATCAGGCAACGATGAGGACGGTAGCCGGCCACCGTGTGGCCGCCGGGGTGCTGGTGCTGCTGGCTGCCGCCGCCGGCGCCGCCGCCGCCTACGAGCGCCACGGCGCAGACTTCTGCAACTGCCCCGAGACCAACACGCCCGTGTGCGGCACCGACCAGCAGACGTACCTCAACGACTGCATCCGCGCCTGCGCCAACGCCATCAAGCTGTCGGTGAGCGGCGCCGGCCGCCGCCGCGCGCCACGCGCCCAGCCGGCAGGCGGTGGCGCCCCTCGCCCGGCGGCCGGCTGGCTGGCGGCGGCACGCTCGATATGGCAGGAACACCCCTGCCCCAGCCCCTGCCAAGGAATCTGCGCCAGGGCGCGTGCCTGCGGGCCAGCCAGCAGCCGAGCGGGGCGGCCAGCCATCTTGGCGCTGCCCCTGCCGGGCAGGAGGGGGCCCTCGTTTCCTGAGCCTGCCTCCTTGCCACCTGGCGCCGNCCCCTGGCGTGCCGCAGGACGGCCCCTGCGACCCCGACTGCTACCCGCCTGAGGACCAGAACGAGAATGGGGACTGGGAATCCCGGGACCCCGTCTGCGCCTCTGGCATCACCTACAAGAACATGGCAGAGGCGATGGTGGGGCGGGGCGGGCGGCTGGGTGGGGCGGGAGGGGGTGCAGGGG